CGGGCCGATCAACTACCTAGGCCATCTCCTCAACAAAGAAATCCCCAAATGTAACTCGAATAATGCATTGACCATACTCTAATGTGTCGGTCAAGTATGATGTAATCTAAGCACTTGAGGAAAATACCAGCTATGCTTTTCTCGTATGATGCCTGTGTCTCTCTTCCGATTTGCGAAATGCATTTATTCTCGTGACTTTCCTTCCACGAAGATTATAGGGTTGAGGTTTCATGCGTAAGTAAAGTTATCCCAAACTCAAAGTATTACGTTCAATGATGAGGATGTTGTTAGGAAATAAAAAGCATAACAGACCCCTTCTTATGTTCGGCGAGATTGATGATCTCCCCATTAATCGTGATAAGGATTGATGGTGGTTCAGCCATAAACTTGTTACCCTTAAGCACTCTTAAAAAGATTGGGTATTCTAAAGGAGACCTATGTCGCTTCAAATGTTGTCATTCATGGCTTTAACCAAGCTAGTCAAGAAGCATTGGGTACCATATCTCCCGGTTCTAAAGTTTGAAAATCTTATGACATATGTATACTTCCATGTCATTGATGCTGCTACCTCATATAATGTTCTTCTCGATTCGCCCATGGCTGCATGAAAATGGAGTTGTTCCATCTACTCTCCATCAATGTATCAAGTATAAAGATCCTTCAGGAGCGTAATAAGGATTTTTCCGATAAAAACCATTCACTATAGCAGAATCTTTTATGTTGATGCAAAGTTTTATTTTGAGCCTATTGATAAAGTCTCAAAACCAAAATCATCATTGCCGTGGGGAACAAAATATCCCAAAGATAGAAGATGTCAAGTCTTCATCCAGCCAAAAGATATACCAATACATACCAAGCAATCAAAGGAAGGAAGGCGATCCGATATTTCAGCATCATAAGTAAACCCTCTCAAAATAGAGGTATTTCATTTCCAACTCCTTTACCTCCTTTGGTGCAAAATAAAATAAAACAAGTCCAAATTGAAAGGGATAATAAAGAGTAAATTGGTTACACAGGTCACTTTGTTAAATAAAGATGATAAAACATTACCCATCTCTCTATATGACAACAAAGTTCTTTATATTATGCAACAAATGGGCTATGATATTTCTATCGGTCCTTCTTTTATCACGATGGTAAAGGCAGCTCGCACCATTTGAAAAGTTGATGTCTCGAGCTCAGCTTGAAGCCTTGCACCAAGATCAAGCATTAAAAGAAGAGAAATATGGGTTAGGCTATGAAGTTAATATGACCTCTGCTGAACCTCTTGATGCCTACTGAAGCATCTCCACAAATGGAAGATGGAAATCAACCAAGCTGTTGATGAGTTGGAAGAAATTAATATCGGCGCAGACTGACGATCCTCGGCCAATCTTCATTAGTAAATATCTATCTAAAGAAAGTAAGGAAGAATACCATAAATTTCTTTCTACAAATAGAGATGTCTTTGCTTGGTCTTATGAATGCCGAGTCTAGACCCAACGGTGGTAGTCGTGCATAAATTGGCCGTTCGAAAAAGATGTTCCTCCGGTGAAGCAAGGACAAAGAAGATATCGTCCAGAACTTCTCCCACAAATAGAAGCTGAAGTTGATAAACTCATAGCTGCTGGATTTATTCGAGAAGTGAAATACCCCAAATGGGTGTCTAGTATCATGCCCACGAAAAAGAAAAATGGGCAGATCCGGTGTATGTGTGGATTTTAGAGATTTAAATAAAGCCTGTCCAAAAGATGAGTTTCCAATTCCAATCTAAAATCCTTATTGATGCCACTATGGGATATGAAATATTCTCCTTCATGGATGGTTTCTCTGGTTACAACCAAATAAAAATGTCACTAGAAGATGAAGAGTTGACAGGATTCCGTACACCCAAGGGCATATATTGTTATAAAGTGATGCCCTTCGGATTAAAAAATGCAGCGCCCACGTATCAACGTCTGCAATGACCATTGTCCTTGATGGGTTGTTGTATGAAATCGTTGAGTGCTATATAGATGATATCGTTGTAAAATCTAAGCACGAGAAAGATCACTTAAAACATTTGGAAATGGTGTTTGACCGCCTTAGAAAACATAAATTAAAGATGAATCCTATGAAGTGCGCCTTGAGTATCTTCGGGAAAATTCCTTGGTTTCATAGTCACCAAGCGTGGAATTGAAATTGACCCTACTAAAATAAAGACAATTGTCGACATGCCTCGACCAACAAACTTGCATGAATTAAAGAGCCTCCAAGGCCATTTAGCATACATTAGAAGGTTCATCTCAAACACTGTCCCGGGAGGTGCAAACCCTTTTTCCCGACTCATGAAGAAAGGAGTCCCGTTTCAATGGGATCAAGCATGTCAAATGCATTCGAGGACATAAAAATATTTAACAAATCCTCCTGTCCTAGGCAGCGCCAATTAAAGGGCGACCATTAATCCTCTATATGGCAGCCATAAAACTTCATTAGGGCGCTCTTTTGGCACAAACCAATGATGCAGGAAAGAAGTCTCCTATATTATTTAAGCCGCACCCCTCTGAGGGCATAGTACAATTACCGGATATAGAAAAAATATGCTCGGCACTTGTATTTGTAAAGACAAAGCTTCGCCATTACATGCTAGAACATACAATACATCTTGTCTCGAGAGAGTGATCCACTCCAAACATATCTTAAATAAAATGACATTATCCCGTAGATTGGCTAAGTGGGCAATGTTCCTTTCACAATTTGATATTGTGTTCGTGCCTCAAAAAGCTATTAAAGGTCAAGCTCGGCTAATTTTCTAGCCGCACATCCCATACCGATGACTTTCCATTGATGATGATCTCGCTGGATGAGGTAGTCTTCACCACTACGGTGTCTAAGCCTACATGGCAAATGTATTTTGATGGTGCTTGCCGGAAATCGAGAGAGGCGGTAGCAGCAGGGTCGTGTTTGTGTTAATCGACGAAGCAATACTTCCATATTCCTTCACATTAACTTCAGCGGTTTCAAATAATGTCTTTGAATATGAGGCTCTAATTATTGGGCTTGAAATGGCTCACAATATGGGTTTAAACACACTCTATGTATATGGAGACTCCCAATTAATAATTAACCAATTGTTGGGAACATATGCGGTAAAAAAGCAAGGGCTTTTGCCATATTTTTGGAAGGCAAAAGAACTAATGGCTATGTTTGTTGATCTAAAAATTCAGCATGTTATGAGAAGCCAAATGAGAAAGCGGATGCATTGGCAAGCTTAGCTGCCAAAGCATGTCACTAAATCCATATCAAACAGTGGATGTTCACGTAGAGGAACGAAGAGTCCTCCCATACTTATACGAGGAAGAATACATACCATCTACTTCAGCCATGACTATAGATACGTATGAAATTGAGATGGGTGATTGGAGAACACCTTTCTCGATTATCTCCTTCATGGATATTTGCCCTAGATTCTAGTGAAAGGTCTAGGATTTGAAAGAGATCACTTTGAATTATACATGTATAAACGACACGCTCTATCGGCGTTCATGCGATGGCATTTTTACTTGCCGCCTTGCGTGCAACGAGGTAATCAAAGCTTTAAATGAAGTTCACTCCGGGTGTCACGGCGACACCAATCTGGACCCAAGCTACACTACCAACTAAGACATTTGGGTTATTATTGGCCTACAATGTTTGATGATTCTATGAAATTTAAGTGAAGAAATGCCATGAATGCCAAATACATGGTAATTTCATACATCAACCCCATGAACCATTACATCCCACTAATATGTCTTGGCCCTTTGAAATGTGGGGAATGGATGTAGTTGGGCCAATAAATCCCCGTCTTCCAAGGGACACAAATTCATTCTTGCATAACTGATTACTTCTCTAAGTGGGCGAAGTTGTAGCACTAAAAGAAGTCAAAGCGGAAAATGTTGAAAACTTTATAAGAACCAATCTTATATATCGATTTGGGGTTCCAAACCGAATGATATCTCGATAATGGCACGTCTTTTAAAATAGACAAATAGAAAAGATGTGTGCTAAATTCAGAATTAAGCATCACTTCTCCAAAGGTTATAATCCGGCCGCTAATGGTCAAGCAGAAGCATTCAATAAAGTGCTATGCAAGTTGCTTAAAAAGATGGTCTCACAAAATAAGAGACGCTGGCATGAAAAGTTACTCGAATCCTTGTGGGCATATAGGACCACGACCGGACGCCAACGAAAATGACTCCTTACTCACTTGTGTATGGAGGAGAGGCGGTCCTGCCACTAGAGGTGCAAATTGCCTCCTTAAGAGTTGCTATCCAAGAAGAACTCAATGAAGATGAATCGGCAAAATTACGCCTAAGGGAACTAGACATCCTCAAGAAAAACGTCTTCGTGCATTGCAAAACTTGGAGGCATACCAAGCTAGAATGTCCCAGCTTTTGACAAGCGCGTAAGGAGGAGGTCGTTCAAAGAAGGGGATTTGGTTCTAGCGGTCATTCGCCTATGAATATTACTCATCGAATGTAAAGCAAATTCGAGCCTAAATGGGAAGGTCCTTATATTGTGAAGGATGTCTACTCTAGTGGCGCTTATAGAATCATATCCCCAGATGGCGAGTATTGCCCACCGCCAGTAAATGGAAAATTTCTAAAAGCGTTACTATGCGTGAGGAAATATGCATATTACGCTCCATTGCTACAGGAGCCTAAACTGTTAGCACAAAAAAAAAATGCTCCTTCATGAGCCTAATGTAAAGAAGACATATGCTCAATTGCTTCATGAGCTTAAACTGTAGCATCAATTAAAAAAAAACAACAACAATGCTTCGTAGCTTTAAGAGCTTAAAGTGAAAGTAGAAAGATGCTCCTGCATGAGCCTAAACTGTAAGAAAAAAAATACTACATTGCAGCATGAGATAGTCTAAAGTGCCAGTTACAAAGTTTAATTTGTGGGCAGCATGCAATCCATGGGTTTCACTATATTCGGTTACAGGACATTGGTTTACCAACTATGTATAAAAAGAAGAGACGGATAAACGTAACAGATCAATGAGCCCTTCCAATGCATTGGAAACAAATAAAGGTCCTGATGCACATCTGAATTAAATAAATAGTTCGGAAGTAAACCACTGATAATTACAAAGCCAAATGAAACATGACACATGTCCCATAAACTGAAGAAATAAATGTTCATAATTAACTATAGGAAATAAAATACTCAAAGTCTGACATAAAGCTTGACAAAACGAATCGAATCAGCTGGATCCATCAGTTGACTTGGGAGAGGGTTTGGTTCAGATCAGTCAAACAGCCTGTTCTGGGCTGGTTGGTTTCAGCCAAAGCCCAAACCAGTCACCAACAAAGATTTTCTTCTCACAAAAATCAGCACCAGCCAGTCCAAACCAGCACCAGCTCCAACCAGCGAACAGGCCCAGCTTCTCAGCTTCCTGGATAGGAACCATCGTCTTTGCCCGGAGGTCATCATTGGCTCTCTTGTTTGCCTTTGTAGTGGCATCACACAGCGCTTGTTCTTGCTCCTTCACTTCTAATTCCTGGGCAGACTGAGTCTTCAATAGCTTTTCCTCCTTCTCCTCCAGTTCCTTCAAGGCAAGGTTAAACTTGGCAACTTCTGCTAAAAGCTCAGCTTTCCTCTCTTCAACTGAAATCATTTCCTGGGCGGTAGCTTGAGAGCATTTTTTCTTAACTGAAAGCTCTTGTTTAACCTGGCCAACAGCTTGGTCTACTCTGCCCAGAGCTTGCTTCAAATTCAGAGTGGGCAAGTTGCAATTGTTGGGAAATAGCAACCAGTTTGTCCAGCATAGCTTTGATCTTGGAAATGCTAGCAAAATTCCCAGGGAGACTAGTCGAAGTAAGTTGCAGGGCGGCACATCGCTCCGGGTCTTTCAATGTAGTAACATCCAGCCCGTTGAGAACCTTTAGTGACACCTGATATGCTGTTGCCAAGAAAATCTTCTCGATCTCAGTCGCGTCCATGCTTTGCGTATCCTTAGATAACGCTTGGCCGGAGGATGGATGGTCAAGCTGCTGTCCACAATCTAAAAAAAGACATTAAACAAGTTCGTAATGGAATATGGTTGTTGCGTGCACAAACAACATCTACAGATTTAATAAAAAAAAAAAATAATACCATTGATAAAAGCTGAAATTTCAGTTGAGTCAATGTCAGGAAGAACAACACGAGTCATATTATACGGGGACTTTGAAAAATCCCCACCTGACCCCGTAGTAGTAATGTAGCTTTCAATAGAAGGAAGAGGCTGTAAATTGCCTTTCTTATCCACTATACCGAAATCTGTAATGACTGTATAATCTTCATCTTCTTGATTGGGATCTTCGTCAACGGGAGTGACGTTGGGGGGCAAAGTGCAATGGCTGGGCCACAACCCTCATCCATATCAGTAAAATCAAGCCTTCTCTTGGCTGGTGGATCCCCATTATCTCTTGAAAGGATATTCAAGGGTGGGTGACGCTTCTTGTTGTTCTCAACTGGCACAATAATTTGATTATCTATCAAATTCTCTTTTGCCAACAGGTTGTCAAGTAACACAGGTTGGGATGAAGGACCGGCAACAGGGTTTGTTTCAAAGTGATCCCGCTCTAAAAAAAATAAGAAAGGAGTAAAATCAGTCATGAGAATAGAATTAATCTTCTTATAACCACACTAGTTCATATGATGGACAAGGGAGAAGGAAAATATACCATGGCTGTTTGACCCTGATAGTCGACCTGTACACCCAGAAGGTTGTGCAGCTCTCTCTTCCAATGATCATTATTGGTCATCTCTTTATTCATGATAGATACAAGATAATCCTGAAGATGTTCTTCAGCTACCCTCTGCACCACAGTCAAGTCACGAGAGGATAGATTTCGAGGAGCAAGACCTGGGTGTATATGATAATCACATTGTCTAGCCCCGAAACTGATAGGGTCATAGAGGTTATCTTGGCCCAAGCTGTGTAAAATGGAGTTAAATGGTTCTATGAAAGCACTGAACCATCTAACCCAAGCCAGTGAAGCACGTCCTACACGATACTCATCTGGTATGAGATGCGAGTCCTCATATATCGGGCGTAGAAGATGTCGCCAGTGAGCATATGCTATCCCAACGTCAAATTCAGTTACCAAACTAGTCAACGGAAGATGAGGAACAACTTGATCCAACCCGAACTGTCTAGCTGCACGTTCCGGGTGGTATGGCTCCAAAATGCAAAAGTCCGTCTTGTATGTAGCAATTCTCCATGGGAGCATACCACGACGAAGTGATAAATCAAATATTCTGTTGGTCCGAAGTGAGTTTGGTTGAGCTGTTAGGTCCTCGTCAAGAGGCTCGTAGGGATTCCACAAAATATTCTTATCTCTACACAGAAGCTTATGAGCACTCTTGGGACTGAAAAGAGTTGGCTTTCTGGACATAGTATCCAGCATAGTTGGCCGCACTGAAGGATACGGGCAAACAGGGATATTGACATGCTTCATTCTGTTACCAAATACCGCCGGTATGTGATCCCCTATCCAGCCAATCAGATAGTGGACAGGCCAAAGCTTCCTCAAAGATGCAGGATTAATAGGCTTGGTGCTAATAAGCCTTAAAGAGTAATATAAAGAACACAAAGCAGGTTGTGCCAAAGCAAATTGGCGGCCCAGAGTCATCCATGAGGCTGTCACTAGTACACCTGGTCGAATATATGGCCTCCAACAATCGCGAAGCAACATATCCAGAGTGTTAGGAATGCAGCAGTATAGATATTGGAGAACTCACTGCTATCAAAACCCGAAAGATTTCCTGGGGTGCAATGAAAGTAATCGCACCACTTTTGGAAAGTAACTTTTCCTCCGTCCTCAAGTTTGCGCCATGCCCTGTAGAGAGGCAGTAAAGTCTTTGGATACAGCAGCATAGCTGGCTCCATGTAAGCACGAGATGGAATGAATTCGTCGTAAGGTTCCCCATCCAGTGGTAAACCGGCCATGTTCTTCATATCTAAGAGGGTGATTGTACGCTCTCCGCAAGGGAATACGAAGGTGTTCGCAACCGAGTCCCACCTCTCCAGTAGAGCTCTTACCACGGAGGGGGATATAGGGTATTTTCCTAAGGAACAGAAGATTGCCCCATAAATATAATCCTTGCCCGGCTCGCTTCCCTTGAGATGAGATGAATGATTAGTTAAAAACCCTGGCAGCTCATTCATGATAACCATTAGGCATTGGGATGTGCTCTATCTCAAAATTTGCCCATCCAAAATCACCTAACACCACTCGGCTGCCCAAAGGTGAGGCCGTATCAGATCGAGGTGTAGGTGCCAGTGTGTGAAGAAAACGGGCTAGAAAATGAGGTTGAGATCTCCACGCACGATGGGGATTGGAAAAATTAAAATCCCCTTCGACCTGTTGTTCTTCCTTGAGAGCAGGGCATGCCGTTTCATTATCAAGGGGTTCATATGGTTGCAGTTTTGCCACTTCGTACAGAGGCGTCCTATGAGGAGGAGAAGGTAGTGGCGCGTCATCCATCTCCCTAAAGGAAAAAGGATGGAATAGGTGGATGCCGTAGTGCAATTAGATCCACAAGGTAACTCAAAGCATAAATCGATATAAACATATGGTACTTGAGATAGATACGCATTTAAAAAAAAAAAAATTGCATTCGCACGGCAAAGCGAAAAGTCAAGCAGTGGCTGCACGAAAGTCGCGATCAAAACGATAGACACCAGGCTAATAATAAAAATCAATCAAATTATTTACATTCCAAATGCTGAAGGATACTAATCGGCGTCAGATATGATGATTATGTGGAGAGATAATAGACAAACAGCACCATCGTACCTTCGCACCGTGGTGCCAGACGTCAGAAGCGGTGAGCGGATACTCGTCCACCAAAACTGAAATTCTTCGGCGCTCCAATCCTTGACGATTGTAAACAGAAAGAAACCAAAGGATTTAGGAACACCATAAAGACATACGATGAAATTAAGGGAAAGAATGGGAGAACCTCGTTTGGTTCGGAGCAGGCGAGTCTCTGTTGCCGTGGAAACCCAAGAGAGATCTATGAGAATCCCCGTAGACCCTGGTTGGGAGAAGCAAATAACTAACCCCTATGTTGAGGCCAATATCCCACTACTTCCTATAATCTTGGGGATCAGGCTCATTCGTGATATGGCCCAGAAAGCCAGAAGCGGCAAGAGGATAAGTGCAAAAAAAAAAAAAGAGAAAAAAAAAGAAAAAAAAACGTGCTCATCCATGAGCCTAAATGGTACGAAAAAAGATGATTTATTGCAACACGAGCCTAAACTGTTGGCATAAAAAAATGCCCCCGATGCATCTTCAATGCATCATGAGTTTAAACCGAATGCAAAAAAAAAAAAAATCCAAAGTTCTTAAAATTAAACTGCGACCATGGAACGAACATTTAAAATGTTATGTCCTCCAAGAGTCTGACATAAAGATCAATATAACGTGAGACTATACGTCATTGCTTGATAAATATCATTTATATGCATAAATCTCCGTATGAATCAAGTGCCCCAAAATATGTTTCCAAAAAAAAGTGAGATCATAAATAAATAAATAAAAATCTTAAGTTTCGAGCTCCGGATCCGTTAACATGTACGAAGTAGTTTTCGCATCCGAACCTCGAGGGGGCATCTGTTGACACCAATTTTGGATCTATCCAAAATGTGTGAGAATATTTATACCATACTAAATAAAATAATATAGATGGTCAAATTCCATTTAAATATGGTATGGTGTACATAATAGTGAAATAATATGTCTGAAAAGGAAATAGAATTAGTATGATATAATATATTTTCTGACGGCATAATCTACCATGTAAAAGTGATGTGGTGATATATGTATTAAAAAAAGAGGGAGATAAGTAGTGATAAAAAAAAAGAAGAAGGAGCTGAGGCACGGATATGTCAGCTTCTTGGCATGTGCTTGCAAATGGATGCCTTTGATTACTGAATGGCAGTATTGATAATAGAAAATAGTGGATGACCGACACTCCAGCCAAGCAAGGCAAAGAGAATGTATTTGCCTCTAGAATAACCGATTAAGCATTCGCGCTGGCAATTCAAAGCCATGGCGCTCCACTCAAATTCAAATTAGCATGACTAAGTCCAATCACCGTTTCAAGAGTCCTCCACGCACGTACTGCACGTTTCTCATGAACTCATGCGGTCACAATTCAAACTCTGGCATGGCGTCATTAGCAAAAGGAAAATTAAAACAAAGGAGAGCGCCAAATCTCTGGCAATCGCATCTCTACTACCGGCATATAAATACACTATGCACGCCAGCGTGAGGGCCTCCCCCGCTCCATGATCGTAGTGCCTCTAGGCTGCCGCTCCATAGCCCCTCAAACAAATCGTCGTTAAGTCGCGCTGCACGCCAAGACTGCTCACCGCTCACCATTTGCCGCGCCACCGCTCCAAGCGGAAGGCCACCGGAAGCATCGCCACCAAGTCGTTGCAACACCTACCAAAGCCAAAAAGCTGCTGGTTACGCTTTGTCGGGTTCCAAGAGAAGAAGGTGAGAGGTCGCATGGCGCCTCTCTAGTCCCTACCTCCACGCTTCTTCGTCTTTGGCTAATCGTCCACGAGCTTCATCAAAGAACTCGTCGGCATCGAGAAATGGCTGGCCTATGTCATTGCGGATGGGCGGTTACGTAGGTCTTACCCCCGTAAAAGGTAAAAGAAATGGTGATGGTTGCGCTGACGCGCATGGGCTGCAAGCCCTGGTAAAAGATAAATACCAATGCCATGACGCGCTGCGCATGGGCAATATGCCGGTGAAGGTGTAAAAAGGCAGCAAATATGCCTCGGTGAAATGCGGGTTTGGATGCGTTTTGGCTCCACCCCGTTACGTTCATAGTGAACTTTTCGGTTGGACGCGATCCCGGCTCCAACCCGGTTAAAGGTTCATGGTACAAAATTGGTGGACGCGCTTTGGCTCCACCCGGTTCATGGTAAATTTGATATGGACGCGAATCGGCTCCATATCTAAACAAATCTACATGTGTTTTGGCCACAAAGAACGCCGCCCATTCATATCATGCATCAAACAAAATAAAGAACTTGCATGTTATTCGCCATGAAGAAAGATCATGCATCGGTTTCTATCAAATCAAAGAAACAATCATATGTGCAAATGAAACTATATAAAAAAAAACAAGACACTAAAAACGCACCGCATATTCAGTCCATTAGCTAGGCATGCATATCATGTAACGTGCCATTATTTCGCCAAAGCATCCGTTGTTTACACAAACCTTTGCATGATGCACAGTCATCAAGGATCATGTATCGACATAATCAAGCCATAAATAAACAAAAGAAAAAGGTTGTGCATGTTATGCTTCGTTAGCTAGCACCTCCCTTGCACAAGCCCAAAACTTGTCTTGCATGCCTCGCTTTGCATGTACAGTGACATAATCAAATTACCAGTGCGGAACAAACCAAGATCCTAAGTTAGTGTTGCATCAAAACTGTCACATCTGCCTCACCATGCAAATAGAAGCAAAGGCTAGCGTAAAGATTGCATGCATCTTGCATCTTAATTATATTGCATTCACCCAAAACAGGTGGATTTAAATAAATAAGAAACTAAAGAAAATTAGTTTCTTCGTGCCAAAATCAAATTTGTCTCTGCTGACGCGGAGGTGGGTCATAGCCACCCGTTTCCCCGCCATCATGGACGACAAGAAGGCTGAGTTCAACCGCAGAGGAGACAGAGAAAGGTCCAATGGGATTGATATGCTGAAAATCCAATCTCGGAACAAGACCCTGACCCAGGAGCTAGAGGAGTTCAGGAAGAAGGCCGTTCGCAACTGAGGGTCACTGATCGAGGCACTCAGTGCACTGAAGTACCTATAGGACAAGTGTGAGAGGACTTGGCGAGCTTGGCGTAAGTCCCGACAAGAAGCGCCTCGAGGAGATGAAGGGTATGTGGGATTAGCTACCCAAGGAGATTCACAGCAAGACGAAGCCGAGGATAGAGGAGTTTGAGTTAGCACCGACTCGCCTCAACCTAGATGTCTGCCCTACCCTACCTAGAGCCAAGCCTCATCGAGGAGTTCGCCGAGGCCTTGAAGCACGTGTCCCGACTTCACAAGTCGACGAGGAGATCAAGATCGAGAACGGTCGTGTATCCCAAATTGCGGTGTCTGAAGTTAGAATAGATGACCTGCGTGGTCATGAGATATGTCGATAGCTTCCATGAGTTGTACCCCATGATGTACCCCTTATGAGATGTATTATGAGACGCTATGCGTAGTAATGATTCTCGCCGTCTTCAAGTGTAGCTACTTTGGAGATGATGCTATGTAATAAAACCCATGTAATGAATGATTTGGATCTTATTGCATCTTATGGATCTTATTGCTTCTTTGTAATGAGTGTTGGATAGTATAAATGATTTTCTTTAAATCGTCGAAATCATGTAATCATAATTGAATTATAAGTACTTATGGCACAAGCATTAAAATTCTTATGATCCGTGTTGCGGATCTTGAACCGCCGATCCGTCTCGCTTAATGAACCATGAACGTGCACCCATCCCCGAACCACCCAAATCCAACGGGGCCGTGGTGGGTGGCAACCGTGGAGTCGTGGACGCGGAGGGTACCTTCAACCTCAAGAATACCCCGCTACTGTTGAGGAGAACATTCCGCCACCACCACCACCAAACCTGGCAGAAGTGATGGCACAGCAGACCCAGCTTCTTGCAGCCCGGTTGAAGGAGCAAACCATCGCTAGGGAGGCCAGCATAATGACTTCTAAAGGAAGCTAGAAGGATTTCTGAAGTTAAGGCCACCTACCTATGATGGCACCGACCCTGACCCGCTTGTAGCCGATGACTGGCTCAAGGAAATGGAGAAGAAGCTTGACCTCACTACTTTCACCGACGATGAGTGTGTTGGAGCTGCCGCACACCAACTCACAGGTGCAGCACGCGCTTGGTGGGACAGTTTCAGTGACTCCCATGAAGACCCTGCTAATATCTCGTGGGATGAGTTTGCTGAAGCATTCATTGAGTATCACATTCCCAAGGGTATCATGGAGGCCAAAGCCGAGGAGTTCCGCAACATCAAGATGGGAAAGGACAAGGTGACTGAGTACACTACTCATTTCACCAACCTTCTACGCTATGCACCCCCCTATGTTGTGAACTCTGAGAAGGAGAAGCTGTACTATTACCGCAAGGGACTTAACCCGCACATCAAGCTAAAGTTTGGCGATATTGAGAGTAACACACTGCGTGCTCGGTGGACTTTGCATCTAGATTGAGAAGGACCGTCTTTGAAGCCGAGAAGAGTATAGGGAGAGGAAGCGTAAGCCTGAGGAGTCTTTCTGTGGCCATGATCGCAAGAGGTTCCGCAGAGATACAACAACCAGGGAACGCTCACGCCACAACAGGGATGACAACCCTGGATCGAGTAAGGGAAGTGGAGGCTACACCGCCAAATACTCCCGCCCTGCTCAGGATCGTTACACCAGGGACCGTTATGCTCA